ACCAATCTTCAGAAGGAGTAACACAGTGGGAGGGATCACAATACCAGATACGAAGTTACACTACAAAACCACACTAATAAAAAAAGCCTGGTACTGACACAAGAACAGGTCAGTAGAATAGAACAGAGTAGAACAGATCAACAGAATAGAACAGACACCCAAATTGACCCAAGCCATAACTCTCAATTAATATTTGACAAAGGAGGCAAGAGCATACAATGGAGTGAAAAGAGTCTCCTCAATAAATGGTGTTAGGAAAATTGGAGTGACACATGCAAAAAGATGAAACTAGACCACAAACTTACACTATACACAAGAATAAACTTAAAATGGATACAACACTTAAATGTAAGTCGTGAAACCATAAAAATCCTTGACGAAACCATAGGTAGCAAGATCTCAGACATCTCTCAAAGCAGTATGTTTACCGATACATTTCTAAGACAATGGAAACTAAAGAGAAAAAAACAAATGGGACTACATCAAGCATCCGCACAGCAAAAGAAACCACAATGAAAAGAAAAGGGAACACAATGTATGGGAGAACATATCTGATAAGGGGTTAATATCAAAAATATAGAAAGGACTGATACAGCCCATCCGGTGTGGCACAGTGGTTGAGTGTCAACCTATGAATTAGGAGGTCAGAGTTCAATTCTGTTAGGGTACATGCCCCGTTTGCGGACTTGATCTTCAGTAGCAGGCATGCAGGAGGCAGCCGATTGATGATTCTCTCTCATCATTGATGTATCTACCTTTATCTCCCTCTCCCTTCCTCTCTGAAATCAACAGAAATATATATTTTAAAAATAAAGTACTCATACAATTCAAAAAAAGGAAGACAAACAATCCAAGTAAGAAATGGCAGAAGACCTGAATACACATTTCTCCAAAGAGGACATACATCTCTTAGAGCAGTGGTTCTCAACCTTCCTAATGCCGCGACCCTTTAATACAGTTCCTCATGTTGTGGTGAGCCCCAACCATAAAGTTATTTTCGTTGCTACTTCATAACTGTAATTTTGCTACTGTTATGAATCGTAATGTAAATATCTGATATGCAGGATGTATTTTCATTGTTGCAAATTAAACATAATTAAAGCATAGTGATTAATCACAAAAACAATATGTAATTATATATGTGTTTTCCGATGGTCTTAGGTGACCCCTGTGAAAGGGTTGTTCGAACCCCAAAGGGGTCATGACCCACAGGTTGAGAACAGCTCTCTTAGGGCAAAGGAAACTAAGGAGAAAATAAACAACTGGGACTACATCAAAATAAAAAGCCTCTGCACGGCAAAAGAAACCATCAATAAAAGGAAAAGGGAGCCCACTGTATGGGAGAACATATTTGGCAATGATACATCTGATAAAAGGCTAATATCCAAATTATATAAGGAACTCATACATCTTAACAAAAGGACAACAAATAATCCAATTTAAAAATGGGCAAAGGATCTAAATAGGTACTGCTCCAAAGCAGGCACAGATGCCAAGAGACATATGAAAAAATGCTCAGTAACTGATCATTCAAGAGATGCAAATTAAAACAACAATGAGGTATCACCTCACACCTCTCACAAAGGCTACCATAAGAAAATCAACAAGTGACAAGTGCTGACAAGGATGTGGAGAAAAGGGAACCCTAGTACACTGCTGGTGGGAATGTAGACTGGTGTGTCATTATGGAAAACAGTGTGGAGTTTCCTCAAAAAATTAAATATGGATCTGCCATTTGACCCAGTGATCCCACTTGTAGGAATATATCCTAAAAAACCCAAAACACCAATCAGAAAGACTGTATGGGCTGGCCAGCATGGCTCAGTGATTGAGTGTTGACTTATGAATCAGGAGGTCATAGTTCGATTCCAGGTCAGGGAACATGCCAGGTTGGGGGCTTGATCCCCAGTGTGGGGCATGCAGGAGGTAGCTGATGAATGATTCTCTCTCATCATTGATGTTTTCTCTCTCTCTCTCTCTCTCTCTCTCTCTCTCTCTCTCTCTTTTTCCTCTCTGAAATCAATAAAAATATATATTTAAAAAAAGAATGTATCCACTATTTACAATAGCTAAGATCTGGGAACATCCCAAATGCCTTTAGTAGATGAGTGGATAAAAAAGCTGTGGTACATTTGTACCATGGAATAGTATGTAGCAGTATAAAATAAGGATCTCTTATCCTTTGACACAGCATGGAGGGATCTGGAGAGTATATCCTAAGCAAAATAAGCCAGTCAGAGAAAGACAAGTATCCCATGATCTCACTCATATGTGGAATCTAATGAACAAAATAAACTGATGAACATAATAGATACAGAGACATAGAAGCATGGAATAGTCTGTGGAATGTCAGAGGGAATGTGGGGTTGGGTTGGTGGGTGGGAAGAGAACAATCAAAGAACTTGTATGCAGACAATAGGGTGGTGATTGCCTGAGGTCAAAGGAGACATATGTAATACTTTCAACAATAAAGATTTTAAAAAATAAAATAAAATGAAGATGTTAGGCATAAAAAAGAAAAGAAAAAGAAAATCACAAAATCTTCTTGAGAGAAAATAAGCCCTGGGGGAGAAAAGCTACCACTTGACAAGCTATAAGGACATACATAACACTTAATATTTTTTTAAATATATTTTATTGATTTCTTACAGAGAGGAAGGGAGAGGGATGGAGAGCTAGAAACATCGATGAGAGAGAAACATCGATCTGCTGCCTCCTGCACATTCCCTACCAGGTATGTGCCCGCAACCAAGGTACATGCCCTTGACCGAAATCGAACCTGGGACCCTTGAGTCCACAGGCCGACACTCTATCCATTGAGCCAAAACGGTTAGGGCCATAAGACTTAATATTATAAAAATGTCAATTCTCCCAAAATTACTATATAATTATATACACATAAATTCAACTGTTTTTAATTGCATAAAATGATCTTAAAGTTCAGAGGAATGAATAAATTTCAAAAAATGGTTTAAAAATATAAAAATATTAAGAGACGGGGGATAGGGAGATATCTGTAATACTATCAACAATAAAAAATATTTAACAAAAATAAAAATATTGTTAATCAAAGCTAGCTATATCACATATCAAAACATACTTTAAATCTGCTAATCAAGTGAATATGGCATCATTATAGCCTAATATAACTATACTAGAGGCTCGGTACACCAATTTGTGCACGGGTGGGGTCCAGCTGGCCTGAACTGATCGGGGCCAATCGGGCCAGGCTGGCCGGTAGGAGGGGACCCAGGAGGTTGGCAGGCAGGCCCTGCCCCTGATTGGGGTGGGGAGGCCGATCAGGGGAGGGGCCGTGGGCGTTTGGCTGGCCCTGTCCCTGGTCGAACTCCCAGTGGAAGGGACAATTTGCATATTAGCCTTTTATTATATAGGATTGGACAGAGTAAAATAAAAAACAGAATTAGAGCCCTATGTGTATATGAAAACTAAAATCTGATATTTTAAAGCAGTAGAGAAAATAAATTAGTGAATAAATGATGCTGGCCTAAATGACTATCATCTTGGGTGAAAAAATTAAGATGAACCTCTATATCACCCCTATGACTATAAATTCCAGATGAAGTAAGAGTCTCACAAGACCTAGATTACCTGGTCTATCTAGAGTTAAGAAGATATGGATCAAGGTAACACGATTCCAGCTTTTCTTTCATAGACTCTATTTTCCTATACAAAAAAATGTAAAACTTGTAAAGGTAAAAGGTACCATAAACAAAAGCAAGAAATAAAATAACGTATTTTGAAAATAGTGTTTTGCAACTCTCATTAACCAGAGTACTCAGCTGCAATCAACAGAACTATTCTGGCTAGGAAAATAGAAAAAGAATTTATTAAATGCTATTAAGAAATTTTGAGTCTCTGGGAAAGCAGATAAAAAATTAGGTTCTACCCCTCCCCTAAACATTTATAAAAATAAATGGCAGTGGATTAAAAGCTACACATTAAAAAAGAATCCCTATAAAAGTAATTAGAGAATATAGATGATATTTTCATACTGTTGGGATGAGGGTTTCCTGAGCAAAAAATAAAACTCAGAAGAGTCAAATAAGTAATAGCTGATTAAAATAAAAAACTTTTGTAAAAGACACAAATGAAAACGTAAGCTAAATCAGCCTTCTTAGACTGGCAAAAGTCAAATCATAGATAATATCCCATGTTGAAAAGATGTGAAGAAACTGTACACTACATACTCTCATTGGCAAGTATAAATTAGTACTCTTTTTGGAGAACAGATTGGCAATATCTATAATAATAAAAGGGTAATATGCTAATTAGACCAGACATCTTCCGGACGTCATTCTGGTCATCCTTCCTGACGATGCCAGGGCCAGAGGGAAGCCAGCCCAGGTCCCTGATGCCTGCGGGTGGCCCAAGGGAAGCCAGCCCGAGTCCCGGGTGCCTGCAGCTGGCCCAAGGGGAGCCAGCCTGGGTCCCAGGTGCCTGCCAGCGGCCAGAGGAGGGAAGCTCAGGTCCCGGGTGCCAGAGGGAAACGGTGCATCCAGGGGAAGGAAGGCCTACTCTTGCACGAACTTTAGTGCATTGGGCCTCTAGTATAGAATAAAATATTTATACTTCATATCTCTTGTTCCCAAGAAAAAGGTTAACTGGAAAGTGCTGGGGAAAGAGTTTAAACCCCTCTAAGCACCTCCTTATAAGACTTTCTTCCCCGTGGTAGAAATAATTTGCACAAATGGTAATGTCCATTAAGTGAATTATACTTTTTCTGCCAAAGTTTCTTGCTCATGAGAAATGATTCTTATTTCTACAACCTGCTCGTGTTCACACATGTAGGCAAAGAGTACTCTAGGGAAATCTCCATATCACACTTACAAATGTAAGAACTCCTTACTTGGATTCATCATTTGGCTCTTAGTTTGTGCTCCCTCTTTTATGACACGCCATTTCAAACAACTATCCCTTCCAAGTATACATTCATGTATGAATAATTTATTTATTTTGAACACCCCATAACATTAGTTTACCTGTTCCTGCTGGATTAGGAGTATATGGAGGTGGAGGAGGTACACCAGGAGCTATGACATTGGCTAATGGTACTAGACCTGCATTGTTATAAGCACCTAAAATAAAAATATAATAGAAAAATATATAATTTATTATCATTTTGTGGCCAGGAGTTCAACTATATTAATGCACCTATCTAATTTATTTTTAAAACTGTAACATAATAGAGTTACATTTTATGTGAAGGTTTGGTACTGGATTAGGTGAAAATAGATCAAATAAGATAATTAGAGATTCTTATTTCCAACACTGCATGCTAACTCCAGGCTCACTAAATGGCATGGCAGGCAGAACCTGCCATACCTAAATTATTATAAGTGCATTACGGATGCCTCTGAACACCAACTATCAAAAAGGGATTCAAGGTGATTTATCAAAGAGAAAACCCATGATAATAAATAAAGTCTAAAAATAATCTATAATTCATTTAGCAAAAGGAAAATATCCTAAATAAATTGTCTGCTGCATTGTTGTAGACCAAAGCACTAGTTAAGCTGACTGTGGGAAAGTTAACAAATCACAGAACATTTTATAGGTGCTTGAGATTTCCCAAGTACATATACCAACATTTACTTTTAATTTAATAAGTAAAGAGCAAAATGAAAAAGTGTAAAACATGAAAGAACTCCTTACTTGGTGTAATAGTTGCATGTGGCCGACATGGAGGTATTGGATAAGGAACGGGTTTATGTGGATTGTATGTTGAAGGAGGCTAAATGAGGGGGCAAAGTACAGCAGTTAGAAGAAAATCAACTAAGCAGTCTGCTGGCAAAACAAAATGTAACTTGTTTCAAAATATTCAGTCCTAAGAGGCTAAAAATGCCCAGCAAAGCTAGTGCTACTGGACTAACACATGGCACAAATAAGGAAAATGTATTTGCTTTAAAACATGTGGTTCTTATTAAATTCCAAAGGTAGATCCTGCTCAAGATTGCTGCAGAGGTGTTTATTTTTTATTTCAGCATCAAATCATCTTATCCCAAACAGCAAATTTCTCTCTGATCTGCCTAGTTTAAATCAAGAATTCCTACCTCTTCCTATGTAACAAAAGAAATCCACTAGCTTTTGGAATTAAAGCTACCCAAGAACCTTCAAAATCCTCCTAACTTATTAGGAACTCATTCATCTTGCCCTCTTTTCTCCTTTTTAAAGAAAAAAAAAAAAAGCACTGTTTTCTTTAGCATTCAGCATGCTGACAAATGTAGCAAAATGTAGACTGGAATTATGAATTCCATATTTTAGTCTTTTTTGCCTTTTGAAACCCACAAATCTTTTATCTTTGATGGAACTTATATAAGTAATAAAGAATGTAAAAGAATTGGTCTCTAGAGAAGCAGAGATATCTAAAAAGCTAAGCCAAATACTGTACTTTTATGAGAGAGGGAGAGACAGAGACTCATATGAATGAACAAGCTCACCTGCTAAAGAGAGCGTACTTATATCCTTGGTGCAGAAGGGCTCTACTGACAGTAAAGGACCCAGATTCTTTCTAGCTCTCATCATGGCAGTCCTGTATGATGCACTAGTCTTGTGCAAAAATTCTGATCTGTAACTATTTTTCTATAAACAACTGCCATGGGAGTTATCAGGTAGACAGGCAGGAACTGCAAGGTGGCCGTGTGGAGGCCTATAGTACTTCAATTTTAATGACCCCTCAAGCCACCGGTTGTCTTCTGTTCAATTTATATTCCAATCAATTATTATCACTCCCTTGAAAATATTCTTAATCTCCTTGCTCTGTCTTGTAATACTAATTTGGCCAAACCATAATCTTAGTTAAAGTGAACCTTCCATACTTTATACCTCCAAAGGAACAGCTAAATGTGGCAGGAGAAAAAAATAAAAACAAATTATGTGTTTTCACTTTAAAACAAAACATTAAATTCAAAAGGGTCCTTAGCACTATTAACTAATTATACTATACTGTCCTAGGCAAAGCATTTCCTGAGGGATTTTAGTATACTTTGAACTTCCCAACACACAAAAAAAGAATTTATGCTTTGAACAGACAGAAAACTACATGTAAGAGTTATGACCTGTTTCATCATTTATTTTCTAAACATACTGGTTTGGATGGTCCAAGAATCCGTGCAGCTATTCCTTTGCCTTCATTGGTACATTCTTCACCATCTTTTTTCAAAGGGGTTCCCTATTAAAAAAAAAAAAAAGAACTGAGACTTTTAAGAAACCCTAAAACAAAAACGAAACAAAAAACCCTCACTAAATAGGCATATCTCATTTTATTGTACTTTTCCTTTATTGCATTTCACAGATATCACAATTTTTACATCAAAGGCAAACCTCCACCAACAAAAAGATTAAGGCTTGCTTTATTGTGGCACTCCCTTTATTGAGTCTGGAATTGAACCCACAATATCTTAGAGGAATGCCTGTATTATAGTGAAGAAAAGGACCTGGTAGGCATTTAAAGACTTGGATTCCAGATTCAATCCTGCCCTGGATGCATGACCCTGATAAGTTCCTCATCACTCCTCTGCCATAGAATCCTCAAAACAGGTACAGGGGCCCTCAGAAGTACACACATAATAAGAGAACAGGATATAGCATGTTTTAATTATTTTCCCTCCACAACAGGTGCAACCAGAAATAGACTTCCAATGCTATAGTATATGTAAGAAACAAAGAGCACCTGTATTACAGTTGAAACATGATGACAAAAAAATGGTGTTCTCTATAAGCATTAAGCATGATAGTTTATATTGTACAAGAGCAAATGAGACCTCACTCAAGGCTGCTATAATTAACAGACCAGAATAAGTTGAATATTAGACTGTGTCACCCTAATAGTGTGTGTCCCTAAATGGTTGGAAGCCAACCTCCAAGATGGTGCCCAGTGATCCTCACCTCCAACATGCTCTGTTCAGTCCCCTTCCAGAATGAACAGGGCTAACCTGTGCAACAAACAGATATTCCAGAAATGATGGCATTTGACTTCTAAGGCTAAGTCATACAAGACAACACAGATTCCACTTATCTTCTCTTAGATGATTGCCTGGTGAAAGTCAGCTGCCATGTCATGAGTGCTCAACCAGCACTATGGAAAAGTCCTTATGGTAAAGAACAAAGACCTCTTGCCAACAACCAACACAAATTTGCCAGGCATGTAAGTGAGCCACTTTGGAAGTATAGTCAGGAGCTCCAATTAAGCCTTCAGATAACTGCAGCCTCATGAGAATCCCTGAGCCAGGACCAAGCTAAGCCACTCCCAGATCCCTGATTCATAGCAACTGCATGAGATAATAAATGTTTTCTGTTTTAATTCACTAAGTTTTAGGTTTATCTATAGCACTACAATAATAAACACCATTCTTTGAAACAGCTTACAAAAAAGCTTAGAAGCAGTGGATGAGGTAAAAACAAGTTTCTTTCTTATAAGACTTCTCAAAGCCTTTATTATACTACTAGAGGTTGGTGCACAAAAATTTGTGCACGGGGTGGGGGTGGGGGGGGGTTCCTCAGTCCGGCCTGCGCCCTCTCGCAGTCCAGGAGCCCTCAGGTGATGTCCACCTGTTGGCTTAGGCTCGCTCCCTGGGGGATTGGGCCTAAGCTGGCAGTCAGACATCCCTCTGGCAGCCTGGGAGCCCTCGGGGAGGGGGGACGGGGGGATCCACCTGCCAGCTTAGGTCCGCTCCCCAGGCATCCTTAGCACTGCCGAGGAGGTGAGAGAGGCTCCCGCCACTGCCGCTGCGCTCACAGCCGTCAGCCCAGCTTGTGGCTGAGCGGAGCTCCCACTGTGGAAGCACACTGACCACCAGAGGGCAGCTCCTGAGTTGAGCGTCTGTCCCCTAGTGGTCAGTGCATGTCACAGCAACCAGTCGTTCTGCTGTTAAGGTCAATTTGCATGTTACCCTTTTATTATAGAGGACTAGAGGCCCGGTGCACAAAAATTTGTGCACTCGGGGGGGAGGGGAGGGTCCTTCAGCCCGGCCTGTGCCCTCTCGCAGTCTGGAACCCCTCGGGAGATAACGACCTGATGGCTTAGGCCTGCTCCCGGGTGGCAGAGGGCAGGCCCAATCCCTAGGTGCAGCCCCTGGTCGGGCTCAGAGCAGGACCGATTGGGGAGTTGGGGTGCCGCCCTCAGTCATGCACAGAGCAGGGCGGATTGGGAGGTTGCGATGCCACCCCTAGTCACGCTCAGGGTAAGGCCGATTGGGGGGTTGGGGCACCGCCCCCTGTCACACTCAAGGTTGGGTCGATGGGGAGGTTGCGGCGCCACCCCATCATGCACAGAGCAGGGCCCATCAGGGGGGTTGGGGCTCCGTACCCTGTCATGCACAGAGCAGGGCCAATCAGGGGGTTGGGGTGCTGCCCCCTGTCACGCACAGAGGAGGGCCCATCAGGGGGGTTGGGGCCCCGTACCCTGTCATGCACAGAGCAGGGCCCATCGGAGGTTGAGGAGCTCCCCCCTTCACTCACAGAGTAGGGCTGATAGGGGAGTTGGAGCACCGTCCCCTGTCACACACAGGGGGTTGGGGCGCCACCCTCTATCACCCACAGAGCAGGGCCGATCAGGGGGTTGGGGCGCCGCCACTCTCACACTCAGGGCAGGGCCGATGGGGGGCGGGTTAGGGCACCGCACCCTGTCACACACAGAGCCACAGGGCGATCAGGGGGTTGGGGAGCTCCCCCCTATCAGGCACAGAGCAGGGCTGAACAGGGGGTTGGGGCGCCTTCGCCTGTCACAAACAGAGCAGGGTGGATAGGGGGGTTGTGGCTTTGCCCCCGTCACACACAGAGCCGCAGGGCGATCAGGGGTTTTGGACGCTGCCCCGTCATGCTGATCCCGATGCCAGGCGGCCTCTTGGCTCCGCTGATCCCGGTGCTGGGAGGCCTCGTGGCTCCACTGATCCCGGTGCTGGGAGGCATATTACCCTTTTACTATATAGGATAGAGACCTGGTGCATGGGTGGGGGCTGGCTGGTTTGCCCTGAAGGGTGTCCTGGATCAGGGTGGAGGTCCCCACTGGGGTGCCTGGCCAGTCTGGGTGAGGGGCTGAGGGCTATTTTCAGGCTGGTGGGTGACTGAAGCTCCCAACTGCTCCTTTTTTTCTTTCTGTTTTTTTTATTCTGGGCCAGCTTTAGCTCTGAGGCTGCTGAAAGCAGGTATCTGGTTTGTTTGGGTTCTATAATCGAAACACTGTATCAACTCCAGCTCTGAGATCCCAGCTGGCTGAAAGCTGGTTTCTGGGGTTTTGTTTAGCTTCTATATTTATAACAATGTTTCAAACTGCAAGCTCAGAGGCTGGCAAGGCAGGTGGGGAACAGTGGTTTCCTCCGTCACTGAAGCAAGCAAGCCTCATGTTAGCTTCAAGCTGCCTGGCTGCTGGCCGCCATCTTGGCTGGCAGTTAATTTGCATATCGCCCTGATTAGCCAATGGGAAGGGTAGCGGACGTATGGCTAATTACCATGTTTCTCTCTTATTAGATAGGACTAGAGGACTGGTGCACAAAATTTGTGCACATGGAGGGGGCGGGTCCCTCAGCCCAAACTGCACCTTCTCGCACCTCCATGGAGAAGGCCTAAGCCATCAGTCTGACATCCTTAGTGCTGCCGTGGAGGCGGGAGAGGCGCCCATCACCGCTGCTGCGCTAGCCAGCCATGAGCCCAGCTTCTGGCTGAGCGGCGCTCCCCCTGCGGAGCATACTGACCACCAGGGGACAGCTCCTGCATTGAGCATCTGCCCCATGGTGGTCAGTGCTTGTTGTAGCAACCAGTGATTCTGCTGTTCTGTCGATTTGCATATTAGCCTTTTGTTATATAGGATAATGTCTTATTATGGGCAAGGCCTCTAATTCAATTTTTTTTAGGTAGTTAAAGGGAGGGGCAGAATTTTCACTTGAGCCTGAAGCTATAATTGCCCTTAGCTCAAAAATCTGCATACCACTGAGACACATCTTGGTGAGGCTCATTCTAAACCCATACACTGTTCTATTATGTGTATAAGTATTGGGAGCCATCTTATCTCTTTAGTGAAAGAAACCTTTTGTTATGTTACAATGACTAACTTTATCTCATGAGTTGTGTTTTGGCTTCAAGGCTGCAAGTACTCATGCAGCAACTTCAGCGCTTCTGTTCAATATTTACCTGGCATATCTTTTATTTTATTTTCTCTAAATCTTTCTAAATTTTTATGTATTTGATAGGAATAGCCCATGGACACAGACAGTAGTCTGGCTAAGGCCTAGAAGGGGTGGGTGCAGGGTGGAGATTAATGGGGAAAAAAAAAACTAAAACAAAAGGACATCTGTAATACTTTCAACAATAAAGATACATTTTAAATAAAGAAAAATATCTTAGTTGAAAAGAGTTCTATGTGAAATAATATAAGTAATTGCTCTACACTGTACTTTATATTCTCAACTCCTCTCAAAGAGATATTAATTGATCCTAGGTCACTTAATGTTAATTGACCCCATGTTCAATGACTGCAGGACTGACTGCCACCACACTGACTCAACACTGACTGCCATGGAGCTGCGATCAGACCCTGCTTTTTTCTCCCGGTCTGTTCCAGGCTGTGGGTTCCGTCTCCGTGAAACCCGGGTCAATCTTGGCATCGGGCAAGTGGAATCGCTGAGGCCTATTTGAGAGTCACCAAGGCGGGGAGCATGACCTCAGAATAGTTAAAAACATGTTTATGAAGGGATGCTATGGCTTCTCACTAAAAAGCCAACACATGTCTGTGCTCCACCAACAGGGTTGCTTTAACACAGAAGCCTCCATCTGCAAGCCCACCAGCTCCAGGAGCTGGCGGGAGGTTGAAAGTGGCCATGGGTAGATGAGGCAGGTGTCAGCGGCTTGGCTGTCTGAGCCCCAAGCGCGGGGAGACAGGCTCTGATGTCACCACCACGCGGAGGATTTGACAGCAGTGGCTTCAGAGCTTCTTGCTATTTTGTTTTATTTATATCTCCTTTTCCCTTTAAACCTCTAGGTTGCCTTTGTTGGAGAGAGGAGCAGCCTTTGCAGCCTCCTCGGTGGAGAGCAGGCCTTCGATCTGGGTTCACACGCAGCGAGACAGACTCCTGTTTAGAAACACGTGTGGGTCTTGCATTATTTGCTCTGTTACCCATAAAGATGGTTTTAGATTCTGGCACATAAATATGTTTCCTGCTTATCCACGAAGGCAGGCCGAGCGCAGTCATAGGCACAGCCACAGTTCTTCACTCCTTCGCAGGCCTCTGTCCAAGGGTGGCGGTGCAGGCGCTTCACACACAGAGGGGGACGGAAACCAGGTGGGGCAGCCCTGCTTTTCCCAGACCTTCTGTCTCAGTCCCCATCTTCCTACTCCTGCTCCGGGTCCGTAGGGTCTTCCTTTTGAGGTGGATTCAGGCGTCTGGGGGACACGTTTATCACACGCTCTTTTCCCATGTGGGTGGTCAACAGGGGGGTGTTCCTGAATCAGGCTTCCTTCGGCATTGCTTTGAGGGGTGGGGGTGGGGGACAGCATGAAGGTACAAACACAACCCATGGGGACTTCTCGCTGAGCGCCTTCTGCATACTTTCTTTATACCTGGTGGGCATCTCCCCTCAGAAAGGGCGCTCCCTATGTCTGCGACCAGTAGGTGTGTTTGTGTGTTAGTGGGGGTGGGGGGGCAGATGAGGCTGGTTGGCTGCTGCAGTGCCCTCACAGCCAGTGACAGCGGGTGGGGCAGAGTACGTGGGACCCTGGATTCCCTCTGTGGTTTGCAGAATCGCCCCCTCCCTTTGTTCTCCCATTCTCCGCAAAGAGGCGGCTATTGGCAGACAGCAGGTCGGATGGATCCGCCATCATACCTACCACCCGACCTCCAGGGAGGTTTCCTGACCCCTCTGTGTCCCCAGCTCAAACATACTTTAATGTAGTTTATATATCAACTTTCAATATATGAAATAAGTTGCTGACATAACAAAATTCCTTTTCTTTGTAGAAGCCTCATCAACTGGCATTTTCTTTAAATATCATAACTATGCTATATTTAATATTTAGCCACAAGAAGTTTCAAATATAGCTATAAAAGTATGCTTACTGGGAAAATTCCATTTATGCGACTAGGTTTTCCTTTGGGATATGGATTTCCTGGAATTGTTCCACAGGAAGATATCATAGCATGCGGAGCTTTGCAGCCTCCTTTGAAAGCCTGTAAAATAAAAAAGGAGAGTGGTAAAAAAAACCCACACAAATAAACTTATAAAATTAAGTATCCTGGACTTTGGAAAGTCCTGCTGAAAAACATGAATTAAAGAACAGCATCCCATTCAATCTGTTCTTATAACAATCAGCACTTACAACGGTAAACATGACCAAAATTAGTAAGTAAAAATCACTTTATTTAAATGGAGTTATTAAAATGGTAACATAAAGTTTTTAATGTCACAACTAAGACTCAAAGATATCTTCACAATGCATTTTGTAAAGTATGTGTAAAAATGTCCATTTACTATTGAATATGTTCCATTTCTCCAATGACCAAGAAATAACATTGTCCAACTCTATAATCATCAACCTCATGTTACAGACAAGGCAAGGAGATCACTTAGATCAGTGGTTCTCGACCTTCCCAATGATGCAACCCTTTAATACAGTTCCTCATGTTGTGGTGACCCCCAACCATAAAATTATTTTCATTGCTACTTCATAACTGTAATTTTGCTACTGTTATGAATCGTAATGTAAATATCTGATATGCAGGATGTATTTACATTGTTACAAATTGAACATAATTAAAGCATACTGATTAATCACAAAAAAATATGTAATTATATATGTGTTTTCCAATGGTCTTAGGCGACCCCTATGAAAGGGTCGTTCAACCCCCAAAGAGGTCACGACCCACAGGTTGAGAACAACTGACTTAGATGAAAGAAACATGGTTTCCATTCTGAAGAAGTTTATAACTTAAAGGAGGAAACAGAAACAAATAACATGGGGCATGGGGTTTCTAAAGAGCTGTAATGTTAAAAAAAACAGAGTGTTCAATTTAATGTTACATAACTTTGATATATATTGAGGGATGGGATTTTGTTCTGGTTTAATATTTTATCCCCAGCTTCTAAAATGATGCTTAACACATATTGAGCTACTGATCAATAAATACTTATTAAGTAAATGAAAAATACGTATTAGGTGACATACATTCCATTAGATTTATACTATGTTATAGGAATATCAAGTTATGTATAAATAGTTCTATTTAAAAATATGTATGATACGCTATATATTGTTGTAGAGATACAGTAGTTTTATAAATTCATTCACACATATCATTAGCTATATAATTCAGCCTACTACTAATATCCCAATCCTAAAAATCATCTCAATTTGGAAATATTATGACTAGTACAGGATAAATGCCCTTATATATTAATTTGTACTTTTCTATTTATTGCCACAGAATAAATTTCTAAATAGCATTTGTGGGTTAAAGATGTGAACATTTTAAAGGCTCTTCAACTTAACCTTCCAGAAACACTGTACAATGATACAGAACACTCAGACCCAGATTATTTCTGAGAAAGAAATGACATAATCAGAATGTTTTATTAGGAAAAAAAACTACAGCAGAAAATGTTTGATGCCTTATATAACTTAGTCAAGGAAACCAATGAAGAACTTATGAAAGAAATATGGGCTAGGGAAAAACAAGATGGCGGCATAAACACCGGAAATTGCTGCCTCGCACAACCACTTCAAAAATACAACTAAAAGACAAAACGGACATCATCCAGAACCACAGGAAGGCTGGCTGAGTGGAAATTCTACAACTAGAAGGAAAGAGAAAAACACACTGAGACTCAGAGGAGGTGTGGAAGTAAAGTGCAGAGGTACGGAGGCACACGTGGAAAGGGCTGGCAACTGAGGACACGGTTGTCTTTTGCAATCGGGAGGGAGTCTCAAGCTCCCGAAGTCTCTGAACTCCAGTTACGGGAGAGTCTCTGGGGACCCAGGCTCATACGGGGAGAAACTGGACTGTGTGGCATCCGTCGGAACTCGAGGGCAGCTTTCTCTCAGAGGTGCTTGCAGTGATTACCAGGACATTGAGACGCAGGTCCTCTTAGGGTAGGACTGAGGATCAGCCATAGCTGTTGACTCCGCCCTGTTGATTACCTGAGACCCCGCCCCACCCAAGCTGTGAGCAGAGGCTTTTGCATATGAAAGGCCTGGCCCTTTGCAATCTAAAATTACCTATGGATGAGGACAGTGGGGTGGGGGTAAAGGGTAGAAGGTGGGGTGGGAACCGGGTGGAGGGGAGCTATGTGGGGAAAATAGAGGAACAACTGTAATAATCTGAACAATAAAGAATTGATTTAAAGTAAAAAGAAATATGGGCTCACATAAAGAGAAGTCCTCATAACTTCTGGCTGTAAAAACCAGTGGGAATTGTGGCTGAGTGAGAAGGAGGGCTGCTGGAGTCCCAGGCAGTTCTTCTTAAAGGGCTTGTCCATGGACTTACTCCAACTCACTCCCTCTGAGTTCTAGTGCTGGGGGAAGCAGCTTGAAAGGAACCAGAAACATATGGGGAGGAACTGAACTGTTTAGTATCAGGCCGAGAACTGAAGGGTTAGCTTTCTGCCAGAAAAGAAGTACTGGCAGAGGCCACTGTTCCTTTTTCTAAGACATTCCCTCTCTCCAAACAGAGCCAGCAGGTGGGCACCATATCTGAGTCTCCATCAACCTAGCTAACACTGTCTGCCCTAACCTAGTGATCCCCTGAGACCCCACCGCACCCAATTGTGGGCCCATCCAAGACATTTCCAGTGGCTTTTCCATACAAATGGTCTCTCTTGCCTCATGCTTCAGACTTTCCTAAAACCTGTCAAACAAGCAGCATCTGGCTTATGTATATGCAGTACCTCTTGCTAAGTGGCCCGAGGCCAACCACTAGTGGCTACTGGACTTGGTTTGCAGCTTGGCCTTTCCTGGGCACCTCCAATCCCAAGACAAGTAGCAGCCATCTGCACATAACTTGGTAGCCCCAGGCAAGGAACATGTATTAACTGACCTTGCTCTTCCTGGGAGGCCCCAAAGTCAGTGTACCCGGTGCACAGTTTCAGATCACACCAGATTACCTCCCTACCATCTATACAAGAGCACACTGAGTTGCAGACTCAGGGAATACCAAAGCCCCAGTGAAGCAAGTCCTGCTCTGTAGGATCAACGCCATTATAGTCACAGAAGTTACTCGAAGCCAATTCCTTCCAATGACACCAATAGCATTCATGGCTCCACTACAGCAGGACAGTGCACACAGCACACACAGGGGTGCAGCTGGAACACCCAGCTCCTATGACTGGGGAGGCTGAGCCAGGGCCCTACAGGACAAAGTCACTCTACCAAGTCCAGGAGATGTAGCAGCTCTACCTAATACACAGAAACAAACACAGGGAAGCAGACAAAATGTGGCGACAAAGAAACAGGTTCCAAATGAAAAAGGAGAAATTTCCGAAATAAGAACTAAATGAAAGGGAGGCAAGCAAACTACCAGACACATAATTCAAAACAATGGTTATAAGGATGCTAAAGGAACTTATTGAGTAAGAGCTTCACAGAACTTAGTGAAGTAGATACATTCTTTTAAAGATCAGAAAGAAGACAAGGATGTTTACTCTCACCATTTCTATTGAACTTGTACTGGAGGTTTTAGCCAGGGTAATTAGGAAAAAATATATATATATATTTGCAGATAACATGATATTGTATATAGAAAATCCTATATTGTATATAGAAATTCTTTTTCGCCGAAACCGGTTTGGCTCAGTGGATGGGGCATCGGCCTGCGGACTGGGGGGTCCCAGGTTCGATTCCGGTCGGGGGCATGTGCCTGGGTTGCGGGCATATCCCCGGTGGGGGATGTGCAGGAGGCGGCTGATCGATGTTTCTCTCTCATTGATGTTTCTAGCTCTCTGTCTCTCTCCCTTCCTCTCTGTGAAAGATCAATAAAATATATTTAAAAAAAAAAAAAGAAATTCTTTTTCAACATCATGAAAAAGAACATAGAAACCAGTCAGAAATGAAGGATATACTAACTGAAATAAAGAATAACTTACAAGGAATTAACAGTACAGCAGATGAAGCTGGGAATCAAATCAGCAATTTGGAAAATAAAGAAGCAAAAACACTCAATCAGAACAGCAAAAAGAAAAAAAAGGATCCAAACCAACTGAAGATAGAGTTGAGGAAGAATAGTAAGAAGCACAGAAAATTCCGTGGCAAGTGGAATGAAGAAACTGGCAAAGATAGCTGAACAAACTGGCCAAGCAATTTATAGCCAGATACAAAAGGTCACCTTCCTAGAGATAACATCTAGACTTCAGTTATTTTTCAGTTCCAGTCCCAGAAAAGCAGCAAAGCCAGTTGGGCAAGGCCAGGACCAGCTGCAATGACTAATGAGACTCTGCCCTGGTGCTGAACAATCAATGGCAACCATGACCCTGAAAAGAATAGAAAAAGCTGATGAATACTCTATTGAGACCCTCCCCTAAGACTTTTCTAAACTCCCAGCCTTACACCATCAAAACAAAGGTCCTAGCACATGCTCTCCTTCCCAGAAGCATAACCACATCTTTCCCTTTCAAACCTTCTTTTTCCCCCATAGGCATGCATCAACTAAACTGTAATGGACCCCACAAGACTTACAACCAGGGGAGCAATGGGCAGAAGCAGCTAATCCCAGGCAAACCCTGGGAACCTGTTTCCAAGGACCCCTCTCTTTGACTTTCCAGTGAGCTGACACCAGCCCAGCCCAGACATTTATTTCCTATAACATTTCTAGAGAGCCAAAGCAGCCCCTCCTAGGTTCTCCTATTGCTTCTTCTAGCCTAAGCCCTTCCTTCCTTCTGTCGCTAACTTTAATAAATGTACTCTGAAAATCACCTGAACTTGTATTATGAAATCTTTTCTGTACAAAATCCAGAACCCACACACTACCAGCCAGCCCTAGGAAGAGCTGCTCCAGGCTGGACTCCTTTCCAGTAATAGTGTAAAGAGTCTCTGGCACAACTTCAAGTGTACCAACATTGCGTCATGGGGGTATTAGAAGGAGAAGAGAGAGAGCAAGAAATTGAAAACCTATTTGAAGAAAAAAAAATGACAGAAAACTTACCTAACCTGGTGAAGGAAATAGATGTACAAGTCTAGAAAGCACAGAGAGTCCCAAACAAGATGAACTCAAAGACACCCACACCAATACACATCATAATTAAAATGCAAAAGATTAAAGACAAAGAAAGAATCTTGAAACCATGAAGAGAAAAGGATTAGATAGTTACCTACAAGGGAGCTCCCATAAGACTGTCAGCTGATTTCACAACAGAAATTTTGCAGGCCAGAGAGAATGGCAAGAAATATTCAAAGCAATGAAAAGCAAGAACCTACAGTAAAACCTCAATATAACAGACTAATTCAGGTGAGGAGGTGTCCATTAAAACTGAAAGTATGTTATATAATAAAGTAGCTTTTATGAATGCATATGTTAAAAAATTGACAAATTAGTTGACCTATTTTTACTTACGTAGAAACATTTGTGTAATTAAAATTAAGTATTTATGGAAAGTTTAATTTCAAAGAAAAGTTTTCTATATGTACTACAATAATTTTAAATTTATACTGAATAGGTCTAGTAAAAGTGTGCATTCACCAGTCACTGTTAGTAAACAAATGCACATGACTGGGACATGGCTTAACACAAAAATGAACATCAGCCAGCAGGACTTAAAACTGCTGCCAACAGTCATACCATAAGACAACAGAACCAATTATCCCATATGATGTGGTGTGATCACATTCTCATCACTCACCAAACATTGTTTACAGGCAGTGACTCTTGGATTATAGTTCTGGATATGTAATATTTATGTCAGTGAAATTACTACAGTGTTGTTTTTTTCCCCAACATATGACCTATTCACTAAAATTTATAAAAGTAATAGTGAATTAATAACAAAAAAATAACCCGTTAATTTAATTATAAGCAAACTTTGGTTAAAAGCATTTAAAAATTAACAGGGTGTTAATTTTCACATATGACATACGAACTGGAAATTTTGTCTGTTAAATCCAAAGTGTGTTAAATCAAGGTCAGCAAAATCGAGGGTTTACTACATGTAAACCAAGATCACTCTACTCAGCAAAGCTATCAATTTAGAATCAAAGAACATATAAAGAGCTTCCCAGACTAAAGGTGTTAGTCACAACCAAACCAGTATTATATGAAATGTTAAAGCATTTTCTTTAAGAAGAAGAAAAAAAAGATAACACATATGAACAATAATTGACAATGAGTATATATTTATCAACAAGTGAATCTAAAAAACAAAATAAATGAACAAGCAGAACAAAAACAAATTCATAGATATAGAGAGCATTTTTGACAGCTGCCAGATAGGAAGGAGACTGGGAAGATGGGTATAAAAGGTGAAGGGATTTAGAAGTACAAATTGGATGTTACAGAATAATCATGTGGATGTAAAGTTCAGAATAAAGAGTATAGTCAAGCCCTAACCAGTTTGGCTCAGTGTCCCAGGTTCGATTCAGGTCAAGGGCATGTACCTTGGTTGCGGGCACATCCCCAGTAGGGGGTGTGCAGGAGGCAGCTGAACGATGTTTCTCTCTCATCGATGTTTCTAAAACTCTATCCCTCTCCCTTCCTCTCTGTAAAAAAATCAATAAAATATATATTTTTTAAAAAAGAGTATAGTCAATAATATTTGAATAACTATATCTGGCGTCATATGGGTATGAGTTCTAGTAGGATGATCACTTGTAAATTATATAATTAATCACTGGGGTGTACACCTCAAACTAATATATTACATGTCAACTGTAATTGAAAAAAAAAAAGTATTAAAATGTGGGCATAGGCCCTAGCCCAGTGGTCAGCAAACTCATTAGTCAACAGAGCCAAATATCAACAGCACAATGAATGAAATTTCTTTTGAGAGCCAAATTTTTTAAACTTAAACTATATAGGTAGTTTGCTTCTTCTTTGTAGCCATGTCAAACAGGGCACCTAAAAAAAATGTTTCATTTTATAATAATAAAGCCACCAACACAAAATAATTACAATTCTTAAATTGATAACAAAAATACCTATAGGATTTGCAGCTGGTTGGAAAAATACAGGTAACTTTATGCTTCAGGTAGGTACTTTTGTCACCTGCGCGTAATTTGCGGACGCAACTAGCACTAACCACTCCACAATGAGACTGCTGACTGACTGGCTCACTCAACTCGTGCAGTGCATGAATCGCGCGAGCCTCCCCGGCTGCGTATCCCCGGCCCGCCGGCGCTGTATCTCCCGTTGCCCGACCTACCGACACCCCCCACTTCTTCTAACGCCACTTCTTCAAAATAGACTCGCCTAGGCCGAAAACCGACTTCTGCGCATGGGCCACGAATTTTCAATCGCACTGTACGTGCATGCCAACACATGGTATTTTGTGGAAGAGCCACACTCAAGGGGCCAAAGAGCCGCATATGGCTCGCGAGCTGCGGTTTGCCGACCATTGCCCTTGCCAGTTTGGCTCATCGCTTCAAGTATTGGACTGCAGACTGAAGGGTCCCAGGTTCAATTCTGGTCAAGGGCACGTACCTCAGTTTCAGATCCCGGCCCCAGGCAAGTGTGTGCAAGAAGGCAACATTGTGTCTCTCTCACATAGACGTTTCTCTCTCTGTCTCTCCCCTTCCCTTCTACTCTCTCTAAAAATCAATGGGAAAAAATATCCTCAGGTGAGTATTAACAACAACAAAAAATGTGGGCTTACATATTGCTTGTGCTACAGTAATTTATGACTAAGGCAAAGGTCTCTACTCTCCCTGAGCTTAGTAAAGGGTGTCAGGATTAATGATTGGGCTGTAAGGCCTAGCCTTCTAATTACTAATTCAGTTTCCAGTCATCAAAATCCTAAGAAATCACTACCTTATATGACAAATCAAGTTTTCTAGGCTTGGACAACTACCACTTTTCACACTCCAAGAGGTTTTAAATTAATAAACTGGGATTTTGCTTTCTTATTTATCTATTATGAATTTGATTAATATAAGTTTAATGACAAAGCAAATTCAAATAACCAAGTTCCTAAATAGAAAAAATTAAAGACAAAAGCATGGAACCATGGTAAAGCTATCAAGGAACCGAGAATAAATACCCCATGAGGCTCAAGCTGAGTGGCCAACTGGCTTCTCATTTTCAAGCTATCTCTTCATCCTCCAGTGTCCCTTTCACTCAGCTCTATTTCTGCATACTCTGCAGGAATGTCATCATTAACCCATCACATGGCAGCAGTCAGGTTATTCATCAAAGTTAATATAGGAAAAAGATTAGAACTTTTTTCTTTATCAACATTCAATAAAACCAAGGTACCATTTATATAGCAATCTTGAGAAAATTACCTGTTCAAGTACTCTCTTACACCGTTTCTTCTCATACATATTTATCCTGAATAAATCTTCAATGGGACGAGAATTCTGTGCATCAACAATGTTTCTACAAAAGAAATACAATTTAGCTTTTCATTTAAGAAACTGGACAGGATACAAAGGCCTGTTGGCCTCTTGTTTACCACAGAAATATATCTGAGTAAGCTTTTGTCCATGACAGAGAGAGAAAAGTGTGATTAATTAATTGGTGAATATAAATAACATGTTATATAAAGATGGTAAATATACTAACTGAGGTTTTTCTGGCTACCTCAAAGTAACAAAGTAATGCTATACATAAAATTCACTATTTTGAGATTCTTGAAAATATACCCTCTCAGTGAGTGCTAGGAGAGCTATTACAATAAAACAAGCCCATGTGTTAAATGCATAATAATCATGATTGATCTAAAGATGAAGTTTTACCTTATGCTAAGTTTTGTGTTTTATAAATATATAAGGGATTTAAAAATCCAAGTGCTATAAATAAACATCTTAGAGACTTTTTCATTTATGAAGAAGGGGAGAGTCCTTTTCTCTTTGGGCTTATATTCATTATAATCATGTATTAAATGCTGTGCTAGGTGCTTTTGCATACCTTATAGTATTTAAAGTTCACACACCCTATTAAGTACGTGAGGTCCTTATTTTTACAATTGAGGAAAATAAGATTCAGGAAGAATAAGTACATATAAAGCCAAAAAAAAGTTATCAGAATGTGGTAGAATCTATCTAACTATAAATCCTATGACTTTATCAATGAGCCTTTCAAGTTATTCACAGTAGGGAGGCAAAGCAAGTCATTAATATACAGATAAACCAAAATAATTAAACTTGATAAGCCCCGTTATTTTGTAAATTATAATCATATATAGTAAGCACACTAGGTATTTTGATATAAGAATTCAGCATTATCCTTTCATGGATTTTATAGAGTTCCAATTACTAATATAATTCTGAGAGATTAACAAACACTGAAAGACACTTAAAAAAATTCTCCAAATTTTCTCCAATGAAGTAAAAAAAAAAAAGAAATACTTACGAAGCTAATAGTTCAAGAGCATGTAGTTTGTCTTTACTGAAGGTGAAACAGTTGAGTATATTGACCACTTCTGCTGGGTGAACAGCCACCATTTTCTATTAATATAAAAATAATTTTAATTTGAACATGAGAAATTTTCAAGCCAGAAAATGCCATTTGGGGGAATGAATAACTAGTTAATGTTTATAATATAAATATCTGAGGTGAAAACTGCTTTCTCAAAAGCCCTAACTAGTATCGGAATTAATCTTCGCCTTTCAATGTAATTACTTCAAATGAAGATAAGATCTAAGTTCTCCTATGTGCTCTTTTTTAATCCATATTTCTCAATGTGTTCATCTATAGAAAAAATAATTTACATGTACTACTTTCCTCAGAAAGGTTGGCTAAAAAGGATATTTACAAATATGGGAGATATATTTCTCAAAAAGTTAGGAAAAACTACATTTCTTAAAGTACAAGGTAAACCATCATCGGCACTTCCTAAAATGAGGTCCATGGTGCTATTCAGAGTTACTAAAAATGAGTTCTACAGTCAGGCCAGTTAGAAAAAGATGGACTAACAGGTTCTTTACTGCAGAACTCTCTTAAGTCTTATGTTAATGTGCATTGTGGCACCCCAAGTTTATATGGAATATTACATAACTTTTATTTGAACAAGGTTCCTTGTTTTTGAAGAGCAGGTAGAAGATTTGGCCAATTTAAAGATTTATGTTAACAGTGGAGGAAATCCAAAGCAAAGCCAATGTAAGATCACTTAAAATCAACACCCAACAGATTCCTAAATTTGGATCAGTAATTTTTAAATATTTTTATTCATGTACCACCAAAAGAATTGGTAAAATTATATATCCCTTTGCATGTTTTTAAATTGACATCTAAAAAATTACCAGAAGTGTAAATATTTGTAAAAGATTGATTTCCTTATTTATAAGTTTACTAGAGGCCCAGTGCACGAATTCATACAAAGGTGGGGTCCCTCGGCCTGGCGAGCAATCAAGGCCTATCAGGGAGGCTGGCGGACTGGAGGGAGGGACCGTGGGAGGTTGGCTGTGGGAGCCCACTGACCACCAGGGAGCAGCTCCTGCATGGAGCGTCTGCCCCCTGGTGGTCAGTGCATGCCATGGCGACTGGTCGTGTGGTCGTTCCAGTCGTTCAGTCATAATGGTCTCTTAGGCTTTTGTATATATAGATTATATATTTGTAAAAACCTTGGAACTCATATATGAAAATGTATTATGTAACCTAATCGTCAAAGTCAGTATTTCAGACTTTGTCAGAAAAGGTTGGGCTTAATTTAATTCAAATAAAATCATTAAGTTGTGCCTGTGCTAACCTTCTCACCTCTGATTTTTAATTCTAAAGTAAGTAAATAAGTGAGCAGGCCTCAGAGCTATGTGATGAGTTTGTTAATAAAATTAATAAAATAAGCAAGGTCCTCGACAGTATTTCTTACAGAAACTCTTGCCTTGCTCTCCCTCTTAGGAGATTGCATTGTCTCCTTGGCCCTTGGGGAAAGATCTTCATCCCTAGAAGATCGGTAGCTGGGTGAGATAACCACTTTTTTATAAAGTAGAAAAAAAAACAATTGTTAAAAAAAGGAAGCACTAACAGATGCAGGCATTTTCTTAGGCAAATTAGTTTAGGAAGTTAAGGATCTACAGATTTCCTTAAAGCTACCCATGCCTGGTACTCTACAAAAAACTTCCTATATAGCTAAACTAGAGGCCAGATGTGCGAAATTCGTGCAAGAATAGGTCTTCTTTCCCCTAGCTACCGGCACTGGCTTCCCTCCAGCACCTGGACCTGGGCTTCCCTCGCAGCCCCAGCTTTGTCCGGAAGGTTGACCTAATAAGCATATTACGCTTTTATTATTATAGATCTTGTCTAAATTTAGATGCCTCTATTAATCTAGGCTGTAGAACTGTGCAGTCCACACAGTAGACATTAGGTACCTGCGCCTATTTAAATTAAATAAAAAAATATATAGTTCCTCAGACAGCCTAGCCAGATTTTAAGTACTCCAAGCCAAATGTAGCCAGTGGTTATTATACTAGACTAAAGGCCCGGTACAAAAATTCGTGCACGGGTGGGGTCCCGCTGGCCCGCCCCAATGGGAGCTGATCGGGACTGGGCCAGCAGTGGGGAGGGGAATCGGGAGGTTGGCCGGCCGGACCCGCGCCCCAATTGGAGTGGTGGGGGCTGATCGGGGGGCAGATTTGTGGAGGGGAGGGGCCGCAGGAGGTTGGAGGGGGCTGATTGGGGCCCTGATTGGGCAGGTAGGCCCCTGCAGTGCGCGTCATAGTGACGAGTCGTTCCAGTCGTTCCATCATTCTGGTTGCTTGGCTTTTATATATATACTAGAGGCCCGGTGCACAAAAATTTGTGCACTTGGGGGGGTGGGGTGGGGGAGGGTCCCTCAGCCCAGCCTGTGCCCTCTCGAAGTCTGGGACCCCTTGGGAGATAACGACCTGCTGGCTTAGGCCTGCTCCCAGGTGGCAGAGGGCAGGCCCAATCCCTAGGTGCAGCCCCTGGTCGGGCTCAGAGCAGGGCCGACTGGGAGTTGGGGCGCTGCCCCCTGTCATGCACAGAGCAGGGCAGATCGGGAGGTTGCGATGCCACCTAGTCACGCTCAGGGTAGGGCCGATTCGGGGGTTGGGGCACCGCCCCCTGTCACACTCAAGGCAGGGTCGATAGGGAGGTTGCAGCACCACCCCGTCATGCACAGAGCAGGGCCGATCATGGGGTGGGGCACTGCCCCCTCACGCACAGAGCAGGGCCCATCAGGGGGGTTGGAGCTCCGTACCCTGTCATGCAGAGAGCAGGGCCGATCAGGGGGCTGAGGAGCTCACCCCTGTCACTCACCGAGTAGGGCCGATAGGGGAGTTGGGGCACCGCCCCGTCATACACAGAGCAGGGCCGATCAGAGGGTTGGGGTGCCGCCACTGTCACACTCAGGGCAGGGCCGATGGGGAGGTTATGGCTCTCCCCCGTCACACACAGAGCAGGGCCCGTGGAGGGGGGGGGGTTGGGGCACCTCACCCTGTCACACACAGAGCCGCAGGGTGATCAGGGGGTTGGGGAGCTCCCCCCTATCAGGCACAGAGCAGGGCCGATCAGGGGGTTGGGGCGCCTTCCCCTGTCACGAACAGAGCAGGGCGGATAGAGAGTTTATGGCTCCGCCCCCTGTCACACACAGAGCCATAGGGCGATCAGGGGGTTTGGTCGCTGCCCCCTGTCACGCTGATCCCGGTGCCGGAAGGCCTCGCGGCTCCGCTGATCCCGGTGCTAGGAGGCCTCGCTGCTCCGCTGATTCCGGTGTTGGGAGGCATATTACCTTTTTACCATATAGGATAGAGGCCTGGTGCACGGGTGGGGGCTGGCTGGTTTGCCCTGAAGGGCATCCTGGATCAGGGTGGGGGTCCCCACTGGGGGCCTGGCCAGTCTGGGTGAGGGGCTGAGGGCCGTTTTCAGGCTGGCGGGTGACTGAAGCACCCAACCTGTCCTTTTTTTCTTTTTTTTTATTCTGGGCCAGCTTTAGCTCTGAGGCTTGGCTCCAGCTCTGAGGCCTCGGCTGCTGAAAGCAGGTATCTGGTTTGTTTGGGTTCTATAATTGTAACACTGTTGCGGTCCTGCTCACTCCAGCTCTGAGATCCCGGCTGGCTGAAAGCAGGGATCTGCGTTTGTTCTATAATTGAAACAATGTTGCGTTCCTGCTGGCTGAAGCCTGGCTGGCTGAAAGCAGGTTTCTGGGGTTTTGTTTAGCTTCTATATTTGTAACAATGTTTCTTAAACGGCAAGCTCAGAGGCCGGCAAGGCAGGTGGGGAACCTTGCTTCCTCCGTCACTGAAGCAAGCGAGCCTCCTGTTCGCTTCAAGCTGCCTGGCTGCCAGCCGCCATCTTGGCTGGCAGTTAATTTGCATATCGCCCTGATTAGCCAATGGGAAGGGTAGCGGAGGTATGGCTAATTACCATGTTTCTCTATTATTAGATAGGATATAGATACTGCAGTTATAAAACATTTCTACCATGGCTAAAAGTTCATTTGGACAGTATTGGTCCAAAGAATGTAAGTTTAAAACCATTTGACTACAAGTGTGAAGATATCTAAAAGTAGAAGAAAGTGCATAAAATACTTAGAAATTCAAATCCTATGTTTGCTTACTGATAAACATTTTCTCCTCCAATCAGCCAATTAAGACTCTATGGTATTTGATCTTAGAATAATGGTGTATAATTTAATAGTATAGTATACATGATTTAAATTTATACTGAGAAATTTTAATTTCTTAAGTTATTTTGAATAATAAAAGTAAAATACAATGTAGGATCACTTTTTAAAAATACAAATTACAACTTGAGATGAATTATAGAAAATTAGGGGAGAATCCAAAATACTTAAATTCTATATTCTAAGGAAAAATAACTTACTTACATGTTGTAATGCTTTCATTGCTTTCAACTGAGGCTCAGCCCAGGAGAAATATCTCAGTAATTCAACCACCTGAAAGTAAATAAGTAATTTAGCTCTAATGACAATGTGTTTGCAAAATTTTCTGCAAGGTTTATTTCAGTATTTTCAATTACTATTCAAAATGTTCTGCATGGGCTCAGATGATGAGGAGTAAGCATGGCACCAGAGTTTAGACTGTGTTAATAGAATAACCACATGCAGCTACTTCACATTAACTGAAATAAAATCAAATAAAAAATTCAGTTCCTCACTGGTATAAGACATATTTTAAAGTTCTCAATAACCATATGACGCTGGTAGCTACCATAATGGATAGTAAAGACAGAGAACTTTCCCATCATCACAGAAAGTCTTGAAAAGCACTGGTTTAGAAATAAAGAACAATATAAGATACTAGAGGCCCAATGCAAGAAATTTGTGCATGGGGCTTGGCCCCTGGCTCCCTAGGCAGCGGGGGGCCTCTGCCTCTGCCTTGGCCCCTGCCCGCCATGGTGACCCAGGGGCCTCTGCCTCTGCTGTGGTGGCTGGGGCATCGGCCTCTACCTCTGCCTCTGCCCCAGCCCACAGCAGTTTGGTCCAGAAGGATGCCCAGTCTAATTAGCATATTACACTTTTATTATTATAGATAGAAAAACTAAAGTACATAAAGAAAAGGAAGGTTGGAAAAGTACTAGATAGAGACAAAATGTCAGCTTTTGGATATCTATACATATAAAAGGCTAAGTGTCCATCCATTCGACCAGTAGCTATAACGTGCCCTGACCACCAGGGGGCAGATGCTCAACGCAGGAACTGCCATGACACACACTGGCCATTTAAAAATAAACGGCACCACAGAAGTAGCGCCAACAAACCAACACTCATTCGGCTTCCCCTAAGTGGGACACAGGCCCCGCCACCACCCTGAAGCGACACCCCACCAAATCGCAGCCAACACTGCCAAGACCCCATGGCACAAAATGGGCCCACAGCCCAGCCCAGCAATGACAGCTGTGGGCGCCAGGTAATGATGTCATGTAGCAACGCCCAGGTTCCTCTCCCTAGCGACTAGCATCCTTGGAGTTTCCTCAGCCCAGGAACCCGACTTGCTTTATAGCCAAGTGCAAACATTTTACAGTTTAACCAAAGGTTTGTGAAGCATTTTCTTGTGCCTCATCTCATTTGATCCTCACAGAATTCCTGGAGTAGATACATAGGAGACTCGTGAGAATCCTATTTTCTTTTCATTAGCAAGACGCGAATAGCAATATTAAAATATTTCTTCAAATTAATTTCCTTTCAATGTGCACGAATCTGTGCACTGGGACAATAATGATATATTATGATATATTATGAATGGAAATATTTAAAAATTTAATGCAGATCAGTCTTAGTCAATCACAAAAGGGTATTCAGTGGTGTGGTTTAGGGTAGGTCCACTAACTTCGACTCTATTACTTGAATCTGGAGGGCATAATATTCATATTTATATCAGAGATCTATTCCCTAAAAAATGTAAGAATCACCAGGAATTACTCCAACAGCTTCTAAATGGTAGATCACTTTGAAGGAGGCTTTCTCATCCGCCATCACTAGTGAATTTCAAACAAATGAGGGTAATATTGTGAGATAGCTAGTAAGAGGTGAGCAGAGCATCAAGATCAGAATATTACAGTCTCTATATGGTCACTACAACCCTGGTTAAATGCCCCAAGACACTCGGCGGGGGGGGGGGGGGGGGGGGGGCGCGGGGGGAAGGACTAAGGAAGAGAGGGTAATAAAATCTGGGTTAATGAATTATATTACTACTAGTAGCCCGGTGCACGAAATTCACGCCCGGTGCCCTCAGCCCATCCTGCACCCTCTCCAATCGGGGACCCCTTGGGGGATGTCTGACCACCAGTTTAGGTCCGATCCCACAGGAATCGGGCCTAAACCGGTGGTCGGACATCCCTCTTGCAATGTGGGACTGCTGGCTTCTAACCGCTCACCTGCCTGCCTGCGTGATTGCTCCTAACCCCTCTGCCTGCCCGCCTGATCGCCCTCAACTGCCCTCCCCTGCCGGCCTAATCGCCCCTAACTGCTTCTGCCTCAGCACCCACCACCATGGCTTTGTCTGGAAGGAAGTTGGACATCTGGAAGGTGGCCAGTTGACCCAGTCTAATTAGCATATTACCCTTTTATTAGTATAAATTATTAGTATAGATAGATTATATAGGATAGGATTGCTTAAATGGGGGCGGGGGGAAGCCTTTTTTAGCAGGAGGAGATGCTCTTGGCAGACAAAAACACATAATCCCTATATCTGGACTGACAGCCAACCATATGCACTACACTGCCAAAGCGGTCATTAAAAAATTGAACCGCTTTCTTACACCTTACATCAAACAGCTGTTGCTCTTAAAAACCCTCCTCAGCCCCCACCTTATGTTCTGCCTTCACAGTTCACCCAGATTAGGTTCTGATTGGTCAGTTTCTATGCCAGTCAGCATCTCTGGACCTATCTCTGGGCCTGATCAAAGAGGCGGGGTTGATCAGCAGCCCCAGGGAGGCCCCGAGAGAAACAGAGGTGCAGCTGCTGGTGAAGCTGGGAGAGAAAGAGAGAGGCAATGGCTGGTCAACAGCTGCCACTGAGGCTGCAGATCAGACCCTGCCTCTCTGTAGGCCTAATCTGCAGCCCCCTCGGCAGTCAGTACTGGGTCGCCATGGCAACCCAGCACTGACTTCCAGTGTTATGGATCCCAGCTCTTTATATATATAGATGAGTTCCTGAAAATATATTATGGTCTCAATGTGGTATGAGCAGAAGAATAAAACTACTTTTTACTCCTTATAAAGAGATACAAAAATTGAAAATAATTTGTTAAGAGTATATGTCTTTACTTTATAGTAATGTTTTTACTTACAGTAAGTACTACCTGGCACTTTACCAGTCATAAAACCATACGTATCATGTCTGATATAGGAAGAAAAATCTTTACTATACAAAGTAGCCTTAGAAAGTGGCTTAATAAAATTTTCAATGACTTTAGCAAAGTGGAACAACCACTAAGAGAAGTTTTCTACAAAATTTCACATATGCATATGCAAAAAAAAGAAGAAAAGCTATTACCTATGAAAAGCTGTAAATCTTTCCAAAACATTTAAATTTTCAAAAATAATGGCCGAAAACACTCATTAAATAGGCAGCAACACATGCAAGTCTTAACGTAGCTTTTTAGAATTTAGGAGGCAAAACTTCTACAGGCTTAAGCTTCAAGCTTCACGCTTTGAACATGTTGAGAAACAGATGAAAAGTTGGAACATTTACTAACTCAATCTATAGATACTACATACATTGTCTACCTTATTTATGCTCTAATCCTTTCCGACAATCGTTCTCCAGATGTACATTTCTATTTTTGCCCTAGTTTTCTATCAAGTATTTTCTAAATGTTCTTCAGGAATCTGGACTTTCAATGTATGTGTATGTATATACATGCATGCATATTTTTAAAATTAGCAAACTCTCCCTAAAGTTAGGTAAAACATTTTTACTAAACTATCATTGGTCTTCTGGCAGTTATAGAAATTACTTATTAGACAGTGTATTTTTTTTTCTTATTGCTAAAATTTTTACTTAGTGGGTTCATATAAAAAATATTTCACAACTTATTCAAGTTTTCTTTTATAATATGCAGTGAATTTTGCAATTAACTTAAAAATGCAACCCAAGCTTGAGTATATTTATGACTAGAAGTTTATAAATTTATTTATGATATTGTGTCCAGAATGACAAACACTTTGAACTGATTTTTTTTTTAAACACTGCATTTTAAAATCATGTTAGCATATTGTGGTGAAAGAGGGTATGTTTATAAAATACCCAAGCTATAAATTCTGTAAAGTTTTCTACTAAAACTGAAAGCTTCTGAAGTTCCTTAATAAATATAGCAACAACATAAAAGCAATTCTGACTTGACCAGCAGGTAAATAGACATTAACCAGAACATCATGTGAAAAAAAAAGAAAGAAAAAGACATTTGATTAAACAAATAGAGGAATACCTGTTCACTAGAGAAATATCCATGCACATATTCAATTGCTTTTAATTTGTATTCTGTCAAAACAGCCTAAGAAAAAGAAAAACAGCATTATTATATGTAAGCAGAAGAGTAATATGTATACAGCAAAAATATCTAAGCTACTCAAACAGTGGAAATCTTCAGCCCAGCATGCAGAGTCAGCTAAAGTCACTGTGGTGACATGACATTCTATCTTTCCAGGTTCCATGCTTCAAGGGGTACACTGAGACAGTAGGAAAACTTTCTGGGCCTCCCTACTCACTCCTACAAAAAAAGGAATTATAACAGATAGGATTTGACATTAATAGAAATTATACATAGAATTTATGTACTAGTAAATGTAATTAGATTTTCTAAACATCCCAAATTCAACCAAGTTGTCATTTTTAAGAAGATTAAGTGTATCAGATATTACCCATGTGTTAATTATTTATTCAGCACCTATTATGTCAAGGCTCTCAATCTTTCTGTGGGGATATGAGAACCCAAGTAGCTAGAAGATTCTGAATTCAACCTATGCACCTGCCAAAAACTGGCAGTGTGGCTTTTGAGAGGAATTTTAATTATCCTGAGCGCCTCCTTACCCATAAAATGGAATAGCATTCATTACTCACTTCAGAGTTATGATTAAAATAGTCAATAATAGATCTGACATAAAATAGGTATTCAGTAAGAGATGGTTCCTATCCTCATGTGGCATCTATCAATGGGAAATTCAGAGGGAAGTCCAGTGGCCTCGACCAGCATTATCTAGAGCTGATTGAAATCAGATAAGCTCTCTTTGCGACTATTTTCAGAGTTTATAGATGAAAACACTAGATTACCATAACTCAGTAACTATTAGTCACTAAAAGTTAACTAATCCCTTTGCTTTTACTATAAAACAATGGTATTTGTACTTTTCACATATCTTTTTGCTAGTAGAAAATACTATGGCCAATCAAGTAAGAAAAACATCCAAGGTCTAATTTTTATTGAAATGGGGAGGGAGAGAAATGGCATTCTGGATAATGTACGCTTGGGAGTTTGATTATCATTATCATTACTGAACACAGTCAAAAGCAAGTTTCTGGACAAAACCCTAGATTTTGTTGATGCCAAAACATGTCTCAATTTTTTCATCAGTACCCCAGAGGCATGGCTGTATCACCAGGCACAACAGCATAGCACTGTGGAGTTAGACTGCCTTAGTTTGAATACTGGACCACAACACCCTTCCACCCTTCCCCCTTCCCATCTGGATAACTGAGCTAACTAGCTAACCTCACAAAGACTAGGTTTGCCATCTGTGAGATAAAGAGTATAGTTCTTACCTACACCTCATGGATTGTTAGCAGGTTCAAGTCAAATAGTGCATACAGTGCATGGAGAAACTGCTAAAAACAGGCTTACATAGTAGGTACTCACAGTACTATTCTTACTTTCTGTTTGAAGAGCAAATTTAACATTGCCTTTCCCCCTACTACCTTTCTTTCCTAATGTCTTTGTACATGCCTTTCTCTCTTACCACTGTAGTGACAGTCATTATTACCTATAAACCTAAGGTGACACTCAGGAAGAGATTACCTGGTTTAAACTGACTTACATTTACAAAGTCTGAGAGTAACTTTAAAAAACCAATAGTAATTCTCATATTTAGATATGCCTATATTTTTATCCCATTTTAATGGACTAAGACAATATTGTCGCATCTAATTATTTGGCATAGACAGCAAAGACATCTTGATTGCAAACCAGAAACAATGACTTAAGTTGCTATCTTGTGTGAACATGAATTCCACCTTTGAGAAACTTGTTATTCCCCTCATTAGTATTTACTGTATGATCTTTTCACAACTTAGGAGGGAGAGAATATGCAAAGCACCCTATAGCTTCCAACAGTAGAAATCTACTGGTCTACCTCAATGCATAAATTATTTTCTCATAAACAGTAGTTAAATACCAGCTCATGAACAAATTGTGGCAAATTCTAAATATAGAGTTAGCAAGCTGATACTTTATTGCAAATCTTATTTGGACAAACTGGGTTTGTGAAATCAGAAATTTCATTCAAAAAAGAAGATTCAATATTGCCGAATATGTAAATTTCACCTCACATGCAAATTGGAAAAAGAAAAATGAGTTATAAAGAATGACGAAAAACAACATTTTGCTTTATAGATAATAAAGAAAAACAGCATATCCACAGGCAATTTAATTAATAATTTCATAAGCTGAAACAAATAACAAGCACCAGAGCACACAGTAACAAATCTTTCCAAGTCAACCAAGGGTCTTAAAGGTATGGAAATATGGAGATAACTGCCTGGGAGTTGTAAGCAATGGACCCTCTATTGGAATGAGAATGTTACAGGAAGTACCTCTAATTCTACTTAGGCAAACTGTTATTTCTGGGTTTGAAGTAGTTATGCTCAAGGCTAAATTTCAATTTTTTTTTGCTGTCTGATTCATTCTGGGAAGTAGGCTATATACAATGGTCTCAAAAAGGAGCAAAAACTTGGAAAGCAAGAGAAAAAAGTTTTGGAATTCAAGTTATTGAAGCCCATTCCTAAGGGTATGACTTTAAACTTAATAGCACACTTTTCATTAAGGCACAAATTTTGTCAGGCCGTGTGCCAATTCTCAGATTTTAAAAATCAGTCATGGTAATAACAACCACTACTAAAGGAATGTTCTACACATTTGCTCTAGATTTCAATGTCTTATGTTACAGAAAGATGAGGAAATCGGTTCAGAAATAGTAAGTCACAGTAAATCCAAAAGTACAGAGCCGTGAAATGTATCAAGACATAAGGTCCTACACTATATATTGATTAAAATTCCAACCAATTTTGCAATCCTAAAACCCGTATTTTATACAATCTGCACAGTAGCTCAACGAGAATAAACCATGAGAATTCGTAGCTTATAAAATGATTTAAAGAATAAAATGTAATTACCTTTCTAATTTCATCCAGCACCATTTCAAAGGACTTTTTGTCCATCTTGACTACTCTCTCGACGTGGTTTTAACAGTTATACTTTCAATTACAAAACGTTCGTCAGCTCTGAGGTAAAAATGTTTATAGTTGAGGAGGAAAAAGACGTCAGGAGCAGGAGAAAGGATGAGAAGAGGTAGACTACTTAAAACTCTGAAAAAAATTCTAAAAAATGGAGACTTACAAAGACTTTTTATTTATTTTTTAAAAAGCATCAGGCTTCCCCAGCTTTTCACACAAAGCTTCAGGACACTTTGGAGAAGAGCCGGGTCCTTTCTGAGCACCGTTGGGAAACCCGGGTTTCTGCAGCCAGAGCTGAGCGTGGTTCCGGGCAGCCGAAGGGCCGGTGCCGCAGGGGGAAGGCCTCGAAGCCGCTTTCCCGGGTGAAGCCGCAGGGAGAGCAGTCCCCCGAGCCCCGAGTCACGCGGGCGGCGAGGAGAGGTACCGGCCTCTCCGCCCGCACAAACACTCCAGCCCACGGCCCTCACCACCGCGAACCTCGACTCGCGGCCCAGCTCGCGCTCATTCCAGCAGCTCCGAAGGACACTTGGGTTCGCGCAGCCCGGGTAGCGGAAGGCTGGCAGGCTCTTTGTTACCAACTGCCTCAGCTTCAGGGAGCGGGCCGGCGGCAGGAGAGCCCCGGGAGCCGAGCGAAGAGAGGCACGGTTTCGGGCAGGGTGACTCCGGAACCCCGCAGTAACCACGCGGCCAGGAGCCCTTCCCGATTACCCTTACAGCTCCCACCGGCTCTACTGGGCCTGCAACGAAACCGCCGCACGCGAGCAAACTCAATGCTGTGCCGCTAGTTTAGGCCACTCTTTCCTGAAAGCCAATGGAGGGGTCCTTGTGTGGGAACATAGGTATCCGTGACGTGTGCCTGAATTCCTCAGAATCAGATGCAGATGACACCCTTCGCACAACCTGGAAGCCATTTTTTGAGGGCCACACCCTATATCTTGGGTTTGTGTGTGCTAGCTTCTGATTGGTCAATCTTAATTTCAAAAACAGGATCGTCAGTCGTTATGGCAGAGATATGGGCGCCCTTATCTTGGCAGACAGAAGATGTCTTCAGCGTAGGACCGCTTTCCCAGAGGGGCGGGGTTGGATTGGTCACTGGGTCAGCCCCAGGGCACGTGACATGGAGGCGGGGACGCAGGAAAGCTCCAGAATCCCAGGTCGAGTGCTAACAGTCTTTCGCCCACTCTGTGCTCCTTCCCTGTTCTCAAACCCCAAGCGTGGAGGAAGGGAGGTTGGCGATAGGAGCCTGAGTCCGGAGGCCGGGCAGTCTGTGTGCTGCAAAGAACCGAGTGGACCTGAGGCTGTCTCAGCCTCCTAACGCCGGCAGAAGCTCCTCGTCGCGCTTCCTGTTTCGTCATGGCGAGATTCTGGCTGTGCGCGGGCTGCACTGTCTTTTTCCTTGCATTTCTGATTTTACATTCGCGCTTTTCTGGCTCTTCGGTGAGTTGAATAGTGAAGAAGAAATTTATGCTTGTGGTCTGGATAGCACTTTTGGGAGGCGATGCTTCCCTCTGCAATGGAGGTGGTGCACTAGTTTCTCTCAAACGGGGTGTGGGTGAGGGTGGTTGAGCGGAACCCCGAAGTGTTGTCTTGTCTCTTAGTTTTAAAATGTTTGTACAGAGGGTTCCTAACTTATTATTTTTCTACTGTGGGGTAGTGCAAAGGCGATACCATTCAGTAGACAGTACTTCCACGGGCTAGCACTATGCAAGCCTGCTACTCTTTCCTGATGCTAGACAGGTCTCAGCCACACGATCAGGAAGACAAACAGTTGATGCTATACACTGTGTTGTCAGCTTTTTTGAGGGGGTGGGGAGATATTGTATTTTCGGATCCCATCATGTTTATAAACACATACCTGTGTCTTCTGGTGAGAAAAGACAGGCTTCGTGAGATGAAACTCAAGATAATTGCCCAACTATAGGATAATGTGTGTTCTGAGCACGTTTAAAGTAGGCTAGGTTATGAGCGATAGGTTACCTATAGTAATACATTTTTTAAATTATGATGGACTTATCGGGATGTAAATCGAGGAGCATCTGTATATGGTGTATTCTCTTCTTTCTCACCTACCACTACAGCCTCAAAGACTTTACAGATTTGTATTTTGGTCGACTTGGTCTTTAAAAGTGTAAGACCATTCCTTCCCAAACATTTCTGACGTCTGTGGATAGAGGTGTCAAGGTATGCTTAGAAAGTAAACTTTTTTTTGCTTTTTCAACCTAGACTGTAAACTGAATCTTAATCTTCTGACTTTATTTAAGGTTTTAAGAGAGTTTATTTTTCAAATTTCCTGGAGAAGTGAGGAAATTCTTTACAAGCTGGATGTGGGTTGGCCTAAGCATTCAGAGTACTTTACTGGAGCAACATTTTGTGTTGCAGTTGACTCCCTGAACGGACTACTTTACATAGCCCAAGTAAGTAAAATGGGGATTTTAAAAAACAGCACATGAATACAAAAGGAGCAACAGCCTGTTTTATTGTACTAAGTCATATATGTTTACATCATGCCAGTTATGGAATTTGTTTTTTTTAATTGCTTTGAAGTGAATATATGACTTTGAATTTGATAGATACTGTGTTAGGTGTTGAAGCTGAGTTTGTAAATGTTAACAACATTCTTTGATTAACTTTACTTTTTGTTTCTCTCTCCCAAAATAAAGATTACTTCCTTAAAACTGACTTTATCTAAGCAATTATTTTTGTATACCTTCAGAGAGGGGATAACATCCAAAAGGTACTAGTGTTCACAGAGGATGGATATTTCCTACGAGCTTGGAATTACACAGTTGACACACCTCATGGTATGTTTGCAGCCAGTACACTGTATGAACAATCCATTTGGATTACGGATGTAGGAAATGGTATGTGTACTAGCATCTATTAAATTAGCTTGTTAAAAATTATATCTTTGCCCATGTTCTTTTTCTTTCTTTTCTTTTTAATCCCCACTCGAGGATATTTTTCCATTGATTTTTTAGAGCGAGTGGAAAAGAGAGGTAAAGACAGAGAGAAATACCATTGTGAGAGAAACACATTCATTGGTTGCCTCCTGCATGAGCCGACCAGGGCCCAGGCCAGAGAGGAGCCTGCAACAAAGGTACATGTCCTTGATTGGGCTCAAACCCGGGACTCTTTGGTCTACAGGCCATCCCTCTATGCACTGAACCAAACCAGCTAGGGCACTTTTCCCATGTTCTTGTTTCCATGTTTTAAAATCAGAGTTGCCAAATGTAATTATGAAATCACGTATTATATAAATGTATCGTACTTCTGTAGAATTAAGACATTTAACAAGGAGGCTATCATTATTATCACCTTTCCTTTAACTTTATAGGAGCCTTTTTAAAATGTATATTATATTTTTTCAATTGAAGTTTACTTTTAGTATTATTTTGTATTGATATCAGGTGTACAGCATAGTGATTAGACAATCATATACATTAAAAATTGTTCATCCTGATATTTACAGTACCCACCTGGCACCATACATAGTCATCGCAATATTATTGACTATATTCCCTGTGCTGTACTTTACATCCGGTGACTATTCTGTAACTAACAATTTGTAGTTCTTAATTCTTTCACTTTTTTTAAATTTATTTACTTATTTTTATTTATTTATTTATTTATTTATTTATTTTATTGATTAAGGTATTACAAATGTGTGGTTATCCCCCCATTGCCCCTCCAACTCCTTCACTTCTTTAACCCAGTCCCCCAGTCCCCCTCCACTCTAGAAAACACCAGTTCGAGCTCTGTGTCTATGAGTCTGTTTCAGTTTTGTTTCTTCCTTTATTCTGTTCTTTAGATTCCATATATAAGTGAAATCATATGGTATCTGTCTTTCTCTCATTGACTTATTTGACTGTGCATAATACCCTCTATAATATATCCATTCATGCTATTGCAAATGGTAGGATTTCATTCTTTTTTATGGCCCAGTAATATTTCAGTGTGTGTGTGTGTGTATGTGTGTGTGTGTGTGTGCGCACCACGGCTTTTCTTTTCTTTTTTTTTCTTTTTTTTTTTTTAAGGGGAAATATTAGGGACATTTATTTTTTTTTTTATTTGCATATATTTTTTTTAATTTATTGCTTAAAGTATTACAAAGGGTATTATATATGTGTCCATTTTATCCCCCCGCCCTAGACAGTCCCCTAGCCTCCCCTATCCCCCAGTGTCCTATGTCCATTGGTTATGCTTATATGCATGCATACAAGTCCTTTAGTTGATCTCTTACCCCCTTACCTCCTGCCCCCCAACCCTCCCCGGCCTTCCCGCTGCAGTTTGACAATCTGTTTGAGGCAGCTCTGCCTCTGTATCTATTATTGTTCAAAAGTTTATAATGGTCTCTATTATCCATGAATGAGTGAGATCATGTGGTATTTTTCCTTCATTGACTGGCTTATTTCACTTAGCATAATGCTCTCCAGTTCCATCCATGCTGTTGCAAATGGTAAGAGTTCCTTCCTTTTTAGAGCAGCATAGTATTCCATCGTGTAGATGTACCACAGTTTTCTAATCCATTCATCTACTGATGGGCACTTGGGCTGTTTCCAGATCTTAGCTATGGTGAATTGTGCTGCTATGAACATAGGGGTGCATATATCCTTTCTGATTGGTGTTTCTGGTTTCTTGGGATATATTCCTAGAAGTGGGATCACAGGGTCAAATGGGAGGTCCATTTTCAGTTTTTTAAGGAAACTCCATACTGTCTTCCATAGTGGCTGCACCAGTCTGCATTCCCACCAGCAGTGCACAAGTGTTCCTTTTTCTCCACATCCTCTCCAGCACTTGTCGTTTGTTGATTTGTTGATGATAGCCAGTCTGACAGGTGTGAGATGGTACCTCATTGTTGTTTTGATTTGCATCTCTCGGATGATTAGTGACTTTGAGCATGTTTTCATATGTCTCTTGGCTTTCTGAATGTCCTCTTTTGAAAGGTTTCTATTTAGGTCCTTTGCCCATTTTTTGATTGGATTGTTTATCTTCCTTTTGTTAAGTTGTATGAGTTCCCTATAAATTTTGGAGATTAGGCCCTTATCAGATATGACATTGGCAAATATGTTTTCCCACACAGTGGGTTTTCTCGTTGTTTTGTTGATGGTTTCTTTTGCTGTGCAGAAGCTTTTTATTTTGATGTAGTCCCATTTGTTCATTTTCTCTTTAGTTTCAAGTGTCCTAGGAGCTGTATCAGTGAAGAAATTGCTTCGGCATATGTCTGAGATTTTGTTGCCTTTGGATTCTTCCAGAATTTTTATGGTTTCCTGTCGTACATTTAAGTCCTTTATCCATTTTGAGTTTATTTTTGTGTATGGTGTAAGTTGGTGGTATAGTTTCATTTTCTTGCATATATCTGTCCAATTTTCCCAACACCATTTATTGAAGAGACTATCTTGGCTCCATTGTATGTTCTTGCCTCCTTTGTCAAATATTAATTGAGCATATTGGTTCGGGCCGATTTCTGGGCTCTCTATTCTATTCCATTGATCTATATGCCTATTCTTGTGCCAGTACCAGGCAGTTTTGAGAACAGTGGCTTTGTAATACAACTTGATATCTGGTATTGAGATCCCACCTACTTTGGTCTTTTTCAGGATTGCTGCAGCTATTCGGGGTCTTTTTTTATTCCAGATGAATTTTTGGAGAGTTCGTTCTAGATCTCTGAAGTATGCCGTTGGTATTTTAATGGGAAGTGCGTTGAATTTATATATTGCTTTGGGTAGTATGGACATTTTAATGATGTTGATTCTACCAATCCATGAACACGGTATGTTCTTCCATCTGTTTATGTCTTCCTCTATATCTTTTTTCAATGTCCTGTAGTTTTCTGAGGAGAGGTCTTTTACCTCTTTAGTTAAGTTTATTCCTAGGTAGC